GCAAACAGGTACAGGTTGATATAAAAGATTCTATAGTTGCAACAAAGCCAAGACTATAACTATAGGCCTTTGCAGACTGCCAGAAATAGTGCACATTAAATTGAGGCACTGCCCTGGCTCAGTGCTAGGGAATCATGGGAATTGTAATTTATTGTGGCACCAGAGCTCTCTGACAGAGAAGGCTCAATGTCTCAGAAAAAAAATACAATTCCCATGGCTCCCTAGCACTAAGCCAGGGCAGTGCCTCAATTTAATGTGCACTATTTCTGGCAGTCTGCAAAGGCCCAAAATCTCTTGTTGCCAATATCTGGCAGCCTGAAAGAGGGAAGAAGCATCAAGCTATTGCAGTTTGCTGCAGAGCAGTGATCAGCCTCACTCCCTCAAGGCACAGGAAGCTATTGTGGAAGGATTTTAAAAACTGATTTCTACATTCAGTGATTTGAAAGAACACTCATGGAATTATTAGAGATGTGGAAAAGGCAAAAGACTAGCTGTATGGAAAAACTCTCTATCAAAAGGTCAGTTGCATGGTAGGACTCGTCAGCCTTCTAGCCATTTGCTAAGCAGTTCAGGGGCAGAAAATATTCTCTTGATTTCATTTTTTTATCTAGCGCTACTTGGCAAATGTTCAAAATGGAGTTGACCCATGTCACAGAGAATCACAGTTGGAGATCTTGAAACAACAGAACAACTGTTTTGCCATATGCATGTTTGTTCATTCTTGTATGGACAGTGGACCCTCCACATTCAGTGGGGTAGGATTGCAGGACTTCCATGTTAGTGGGGAAAAACACAAATAAAAGAATCACTATTTTTTGAACCTGAAAATCTCTAGAAATCTCAAGGTCCTCCAGGGCAAATCTACGGTCAACATCCAATAGAGGTTGACCATAAAGTCATGCTGGAGAACCTAGAAAAGGTGTTTTCTCTAGAAATCTTGAGTTCCTCAAGTGTGCCTCTATAGTCAACTTCCAGCAAATTTATGCTGAAGGAACTAGAGATATTAATTGAATTAATAATCAAGTCCACAAAAGTCAAAACTGAAAATGTGGAGGGCTGACTTTATATATAAATTTATATATGGAAGTAATAGTGCCACTGTATTCTACTTTTGTCAGGCCTCACCTGGAATACTGTGCCAGTTCTGGGCACTACAATTCAAAAAAGATGTTGATAAGCTGGAGCGTGTCTGAAGGAGAGTGACCAAAAGGGTGAAGAGTCTGGAAACCATGCCCTACAAGGAATGACTTATAGAGCTGGGCATGTTTAGCCTGGATAAAAGAAGGTTAGGAGATATGATAGTCCTATTTAAATATTTGAAGGGATGCCATATTGAGGAAGGAGCAAGCTTGTTTTCTGCTGTTCCAGAGAATAGGACCCAGAACAATGGATGCAAGCTACAGGAAAAGAGATTCCGCCTAAACAATAAGAGCTATTTGACAGTGGAACACACTCCCTTGGAGAGTGATGGAGTCTCCTTTTTTGGAATTCTTTAAACAGAAGCTGGATGGCCATCTGTCGGGGATGCTTTGATTGAGAGTTCCTGCATGGCAGGGGGGTTGGACTGGATGGCCCTTGTGGTCTTTTCCAACTCTATGATTCTATGATCCCCCTTTTACTGTAGAATGATACTAAGAATCAGGCATCACTATATCTGATCTATCTGATTCTGACACACACCCTACACATATGGGTTCAGATAATTAAGCTATGCATTTCTGCATTAGAAAGATAAAAGAATCAAATATGAAATAGTCTCCTAAAAGCTCATGTAATCCTTTCATTGTCTTCTCAGTGCTCTTGTCTTGATATTTATCACTTGATCTTTTCAAATTACACACACACACACACACACACACACACACATCAAAGCTGGATCAGAAGTAGAATTGAGGATGGGGGTGAAGGGAGAAATTTGTCAATATTAAGAACACTCTTCAATATTCTGTTCCACTATTGTGTTCTTGGCAGCTGGGACACTCAGATCTTACATTCCATTCAAAGTGAAAAAGCAACAGAAGCATTATGTACAACTGATCTCACTTGAAATGGAGGACATGAAAGCAACCCTATTCAGTTGTTTAAGAAATAGTTTGGAAATGCTGGGTCCAGCTGAGTTGGAAAAGAGGATGAGTGCATGACAGTAATGAGGTGAACCCAAAAATCATCATATTTTGGGGGTGCCCCATAGAATGAAACCTATTGACTTTTTCTTCTTGTTTAATAATGGCAGCAGTCAGCTGCTTTCTGGCATCCTCTTGGCTGACAAAAAGGGCTTGCTAAAGCCCTTTGCATTACAATGTTTTCTATATGCCAGAGATATAGATGTTATTACTGGATTGCATTTAAGAACTCTTAAATAACAGCCATACTCAATGTGATGCCATTCACTAAATTAGCTGTCAAGTGCACTTCTTATTCAAAAATAAATATCAGACCCCACCCCCTTTTCACTGGGGAGGGGTGCTTTAATGCCTTGTCCTTCTGTAGTTCTGTTATTGCTCAAGCCCTTGTGTGTATGTGTGATATGAATCAGGATTGTAGCATGAAGCAAAACATTTTTGGGCCTTCCAAACAGGATTCCATTCAGGATTGGGAGTAGGGGTGCTTAATGACTGATACTGCCATTCACATCATTAGAAAAAGAAAGAAAGGCAGAATATTTTGAACCTTGCTGCTGCAAAACTCTCAATACTCTCCAGGATTTCACAGATGAAAACCAGGATATGTGTGGCCAAACAATATCAGTGTGTGTTCAAGATAATAGTGTGAAAACTACTTTTGCAGTCTGATTTCAATTTCAGCTGAAGTAAAGTGATGACAAAGAGGGAAAGTGGGAGAGGAGAGAGAAACTGGGACATTTTAAAAAGCAGCTAAAAAAATGTGATGGTAGGGGATTGATCCGAAGGGTTCCTGTCAAATCGGGACAGTTGGAGGATATAAACACCTTGTTGGTGCTTGTTGCTAGAGACAGGCTGTCTTTTGCAACTCCAAAAGCTTGTGTTTTTTTTCTCCAAAACTAGAAGTGATTTCCAGTCACTTCCAGTTTTGTCAAAAAGACTCTTTCAATAGATGCCTATAACAGTCTAGGGTGTCACTTAGAGGGTGCAGGGCCATTTTAAGTACAATGGCAGGCATGCAGAGAGAGAGAGAGATGATGGGAACAGTGGCATCACTGGATGAGTGCAGGGGGTGCGTACTGCACAAGGTGACTAGAGGAGGGGTGACATCCAGTGGGATCCTTCTCCTGCTGTGGCAGAGGGGTAGCTATGTCACCAACCTGGCTCTCCCCATGGAAGGAGCTGAGGGGACAGTGAGGGCAGCAGAAGGGTGAGCATGCCCCTCATGGTTTCACCATTGGCCTCTCCCCATGGAAGGAGCTGAGGTGGTGGCAAGGTTGGCAGATGAGCCCTGCAGCAGCTCCCCACACTGGGTGTCACCAAGCCTGGTGATGCCATTGAGTTGGTAAATAGGACCTGCAGAGGTACATCCCTCCAAGGTTTAGTGAGGACTGTATGCAGCCTCTGCCTTATTGTTTGGCTAAGTACAGTGGGCTCTAGGTATCTGTGGACCCCATGCAGATACCAAAGTCTGCGGATGCTCAAGCCCCATTGTCATCAATGGCAGTGCAGCCATGTGGCTGTGCCACCATTGGGGACAATGGGACTTCACCTCATGCATCCTCCCTCCCTGCTTTCACCTGGGGCAGTGGGCAGCAAGGGACCTCAATCATTGCCACTGCCGCCTCCTCCTCCTCTTCCTCCTCCTCTGCAGCTTCCTCCCACCTCCTCCTGCTTGTTCCTTCCTCCTCCTTCACCCTCTTCCTCCCACTCCTCCCTCCTCCTCTTCTGCGGTTTTTCCCTCCTCCTCCTCCTCTTTGCCCTGTCTCCTCCACTGCTGCCCCTCCTCTCTCCTCTCCCTCCTCCTTCCTTCCTTCTCCTCTTCCCTACCTCCTCCTCTGCTTCCCCACATGGAGTTGCCATCTGCGGATGCTCAAATCCATGAATGGTAAGCTGTCCCAGTTTGGCAGGGATGTCCCAGTTAAACCTCTGCTGTCCCATGTTTTCAGCTGCTTTAAAAATGTCCTGGTTTCTCTCTTTTGCTCCCACTTTCCCCTTCATCCTCTGCTTACTTCAGTTGCCCCAAACTGAGTTCAACTTTGCCCCCCTCCACTAAATCAAAAGGAGGGAGAGGTGGTGTGGAGACTTGCTCATTTGTTTTTGTTTTTTAATTCAGACTTTTAAAAATAAACTCGGTACCTATATTCCAATATTTGTCTGCATGAGAATAAATATTGAATGTTTTTCCTCTTTGCTCTCTTGTTGCCTGTCAACATCCTTTTGACTACATGTTGAGGTTGCTCAGCTGCACATCACTGTTTTGTCCCTGAAATGTTGAAAGGTATGTTGAAGGGCACAAGGACTGAAATGAAAGAGGAACATATGGGGGAATAACTGACCTTACATCCTATCAAGCTCTGTTCCAACACTGGAATGGACAATTAGTTTCTCAAAAGTCCCTCCCATGGCACTCCTTGCAAAAACCCCACATGGTCTCTAGCTATCTGTCTGTCTGTTAGCCTACAAATGCCCCCAAATATCTTTTAGGCATGTGGGGAGGCATTTTGCCATGTTCCTGCTTTGTTTTTGGATTTTTAAAAGGCATCTTTTGGGCCTAAAATGGCCCAGAGGGGCTCAGAATTGGCAATAACACCTCATCCCCCCAGAATACAATTGGAGACATTTTGCTATTTCTTTAAAAAAATTACCCCTGGAAGGAAATCAAAATATAGCCTTGGGGCGCATGAATCCTCCAGGTGCACTTTGTCCAAGTCTGTCCTATCTTCTTGTTGTGTGCTTTTGAGTCATTTACAACTCAAAACCTGAAATCGACTCTGTCATTGTTTTTCTTTTGGCAAGATTTGTTCAGAGGGGGTTTGTTGTTGCCTTCATCTGAGGTGGAGAGAGCTCAACTTGCTCAAGGTCATTCAGTGGGTTCCATGGCTGAGAAGGGATTCGAACCCTGATCTCCAGAGTCACAGTCCAGCACTGAGACCACTACACCATCCTGTCTCTCTGTGCCCTACATCCTTAGATCATAATATAAAAGCCTCATGATAGCAATGTCCATCTTGCTCCCAGCAGAGACTGTCAAGTCAGCCTCTTGAATCTATTTCACTGTATAAACTGTCTGGGTAAAAAGTGGCTTTTAGCAAGAAGTTCAGCCTTGAAGCCACCATCATGGATGTAGCCGCTGATGCCTAAAAATAAACTTGGCATGATCTCAGTCCAGTCCACATGGTTCTTAATGGATTGAAATCTAGCTGCCTTAGGGACTATACTAGCTCTACAGAATGTTCCAAAATACAGTAATCATGCACTAGGATAATCTAGCTGTAGTATAGATTTTTAGCTGTTGGGGATTCAGAATTTCTCACTAAAGATTTTCTACTTTTGAATTCCTTGCTAGAAATATATCAGTGTTAACAGTTTCCTTCCACTGAGCAGTGCCAGGAAACAAAATCATATTAGCATTCAAAATATGCAAAGTTACAAGTGAGAAATAGATTTGTGTGTGTGAGAGAAAGAGACAGAGAATTTGAAATATTTTGGGCGGCGGCGGCAAGCAAGAGGCC